TCTCCAGCACATCCTTACTGCTGGGGTCTCCAGGGGAGAAGGCTACACCTCTCCCAGGAGTGCCAGCAAGAGTCTTATTTACCCTTACTTTTGATTGGTTCCATGCCCACTCATAAACCAATGTGTGCTCTGATTGGCCAGGCCTGTCACTAAGGCCCAGCCCTGGCAGTGAAGCACCTGGTGGTGAAGGATCCTTCCCAGAGGAACAGCAAGGCGCAGTTGCCAGGAGGGGAATGGTTGCTGGGCAAAGAAGCAATAGGTGGCTATTATACCCACATTCGTACTGTGCTTTTCAGCGTGTGCCTTGTGAGCCTTATTCCATGGTAGCTACTGTGACTTCCTGGCTGTTCCTGGGATGCTCTCGCTTCCTCATCTCATATAGGTCTTAGATGTCACCCACTCAAGACCTTTCCTGAACACTTCACTTGAACCATTTACCAGTCCAATTATTTAAACACAAAATGGCCAAAAATTGCACATTTTTTCACTAATTTTTATAAGATAATATAACAGGAAATACAAAAATGACAATTTTATCTAATGTATTCAATAATTTTTCTGTGAATGGTATAGCTTAAAACATTCAATTCACAATGCAGTGTTAGAATCTGGCCAATAGTATCTAGTCTCTTTCCAAATTCTTTCTGCATTATTGCCTTCCTTTGAACAACGCACTTTACATTGTTGTGTTGGCCTTTCCTTTTTTTCTGTGGGAGATATAATTTCAGTAAAATGTCTGTCCACTAAGTGTAATGATGAAGACGTTGATGATGGATGTCATGGTTGGCGTTTTGGTCTATTAGACCTAACCTAAATTGTAAATGACTTTTTGAACTCCCTTGTTTTGAATAAATAACAAATGAGTTTCATACCGTTTGGCCAGAAGGTGCTAAATATTTTATAATTTTTCTGTGCTTTTTGATTACATGATAACTTGTTAGATGTCAACGCCAGCCATAGAATTTTATAGTCATTGACCACTAGTGGAATTTTTTAGGTTTTTTTTCTTGTACCAGAAATCAAATTCAGGACCTTGCCCTTGCCACCAGGCACAGTGCCACTGAGCTACTTCTCCAGCTCCAATTTTTTTAGTTTTGTTTCTTCTTTCAAGTTCTATCATTTCTGTATTATAAAAAGTTGACAATAGGATGTCTTTTTTGTCTTTCAATTTCAGAACACAGACTTTTCTGATATGCTGACATTTCTTCCTTTTTCTGTTTTTTCTTTTGCAGATCTTTTCGCACTTCCTTCCTATTCAGTCTGTGTCTCAAATGTGTCTTTTTTGTATTGTACCTATTTTTTTTTTGGTACTGGGGATTGAACTCAGGACCTTGTGCTTGCCAGGCAGGCAGCGGAACCACTGAGCTAAATCACTGGCCCATCTTTTTTGTATTGTAAAAGAATAGCACTGAGTTCTGGAGAAGGATAAAAATATACCTAATGTGCTTGTGATAAGAGTTTTTATAGATTGCAGCAAAAAATTATAGGTTATTTTTCATAAATAAAATAAACAAGAATTAGTAAAAGAAAATAACCAGAACTTATTATTAGATTTTACTAGAAACAAACATCAAAGGTGAATACAATGTTCTAAGTAAAATAGTATGCAAAAATAATCAATATAAAAAATAATCAGATGTATGAGTGTATCTCATCCAAACAGGAATTGGCTGGAATGACACTCACCTGAGGAATGCTCTGGATAGTCAGTATATAAGTAAGTGTGCTGCCAAGTGACCCTTGGGGTAAACTGTTAAGTGGTTAAAAATGTAACCTCCTTGCTGGGCATGGTGGTGCACACTTGTAATCCCAACACCCAGGAGGCTGAGGCAGGAGCATTGCCGAGTTTTTTTTTTGTTTTTTTTTGGTACTGGGGATTGAACTCGGGTCCTTGTGCTAGTGCAGCAGGCGGTGGAAACCACTGAGCTAAATTCCTGGCCCTAAGAGTTTGAGGCCAGCTTGGGCTACATAGTGAGTTCAAGGCCAGCCTAAACTGAATAGCAAGACCTTGTCTGAAAAACAAACAAAACCAAAAATATGTATCTTCCTTCTAGTTGGGTGGGGGATGGTGATGCATGTCTGTAATTCCAGCACTCTAGGAGGCTGAGGCAGGAGGATTGGAAGTGTGAGCCCAGCCTGAATAAATTGGCATCCTAGTGAGAGCTTGGGGAGGAGGGGATGTAGCTCAGTGTGAAGGCCTTAGGTTCAATACCCAGTACCAGTAAATAAATTAATAAAAAATTTAAAAAGTAACCTAATTCTCTCCATATTCTTTATTTCCCCTCCTTGCTTTATTTTTTCCTTAGCGCTTAACACTATTATATTATTTTACTTATTTATTCTCTTATCAGTTTCTTCCACTGAAAGTAAGCTCCTAGGGGAGGGACTTTTGTCCATTCTGGCCTCTGCTACATCCTTGTACTTAGAACTGTGCTTGGCACATAATAAGTGCTCAATAAATAATAGCTGAATGAATGAATCACAGCATAGCCATCCTGTGAAGGAAGTGAGATGAAGGCAATTCTGCCCCCGTTAAAGGTCAGGACACTGAAACTCGAGAGAAAAATCCTGTAGGCACAAAGATTTAAAAAAACCAAAAACCAAAAAACAACCTAATTGTTGAGTGTTAATGAGAAAACAGCAGAGAGGAACGTCATGCATTACAGTGTGTTTCCACCAAGTGAAGGTTAAATGACACCCGGTGCAGTAGCTCAAATAGGGAGAAGTGGTAGGAGACATGAGCCATCCCCTGGGATGGGTAATACAGGCATCCAGGGTGTGAAGGAGCCACCTGCTCAGTCATAGTCAGAGCTACATCACGCTAAGAGCAGCTATTGACTTTCAGCAAATGGCAACAGTCACATTTCTTTTTTTTTTTTTTTAATAATTTTTATTGTTTTTTTCTTTTGTTTGCATTCATTTTATTTATTTCTTTATTTTGGTACCGGGGATTGAACTTGGGACCTTGCACTTGTGAGGCAGGTGGCGGAACCACTGATCTAAATCCCTGGCCCAAGTCACATTTCAATTAATGCGGCTAATTTGAATCTTACTGGCTTCACAGTTTCTTTTAAATAGAATCTGTAAGCATGTTTGGATTTTATTGTTGATGGTAAGCCTAGAACCTTAAGAAGTTTGTACCTTGTTTTATGTTTGAATACATCTAAAGAACATTAAAACAAAAACTAAGTAAGGCCGGTAATTTAGCTCAGTGGTTTCGCCAGCTGCTGCGCAAGCGCAAGGACCAGAGTTCGATCTCTGGTACCAAACAAAAACCAAAAAACAACTAAGTAACTCTGTGAGGATTTGTATCCTTTGTAAAGAAACTTGCTTAGTATTCTAGATGAGGGAACAGTTTTGTAAAGGTCAAACCCTCTTGTTACTGGAGATACAGAGGAGTCTGATAAACGTGTTCTTGGAAGGCAAGGAACTCCATAGGCTGGAGTTTGAAGACCACCTGGCTAGCCCATCCTCTCCTGCAGGACTCCTGACCCCAGGGCTCTTACCCTGATGGTATCTGCTCCCCACATCCTGATGCTCTCCCATCACTTCCCTGGAAGTGACCCGGCATGTCTCCAGGCTCAATGGAAGGCCCAAGGTCCCAGTAGCTAAGAGGTCCCCGGCCACTCCCTCCACAGGCATGTGACTGGGAGAGGGTTATTACTCAACAGGAATTTCCCAGCAGATTTTTGAATTTTTGCTCTGATATTTGCTGGGAACTGGAAATAGCTAGGGGAATGTTCCAGCCCCGGCTGGAGGGCCCAGGTGAGGCAGCTATCAAGCATGGCCATCCCTGCCCCCAGAGATGTCCTCAAGGTCACCTGCATTTGGGAGAGAGGTATAAGCATCATCACTGAAAAGGCTGAATGTCCATCACCTGAGGCCAGAGAGTTGGGCAGAGCCTGGGAATCCAGGAAATTGTCTTGGCTGCTCTATGCCAGTCTTGTGAGAGATCTTGCAAGGGAGAAGCTGCTGGCTATCCCCATCCCCCACGAATCTGTGGTGGGAAAGGCAGGAACAGTCCCATGGCAAACATCCCTGGCCAGACAGAAGCTGGTGGGGGAGGAATCAGGCCTGGTGAAGGCTCAGAGCTGCTGGCTGGGGCATACACAGGTCAGAACAAACTCAGTTTCTCCAGCACTGGCTCCTCAGGGAGCTCAGGACTCCTGACTTAGGAACTGCTGTGTGGGCTATGGCAAAGGACTGGCCTCCCAGGGCCACCCGTGGGTTCATAAGGAAACTGAGGTAGAGAGCTGGAATTTGACTGAAGCCGTATTTCATTCAGCAAAGATGGAACCAGGGCACTGTTCTATATTGGGCCCTGTGTTAGGCCATGTGCAGTTAAGAGTTTGGGGTAGGTCTATTAATTAGATTGCTGGCCAGGGATTTAGCTCAGTGGTTCCATAGCTTGCCTTGCAAGCGCAAGGACCCGAGTTCGATCACTAGTAGCAAAACAAAAACAAAAACATTAATTAGATTGCTACTGGGATGAGGGACAAAAGTGAAGCCTCTGGCTTTCTAAGCTAGAAATCTGAGAAACCATAGTGAGCTTTTTCTACTTCCTTCTGGCCTTCTACAAATCCAGGTTAATTATCCCTTATCTGATATCTTTGGAACCTGAAGTTTCAAACTTTGGAATATTTATTTATACCTAAAGTAACATCTTGGGGGATGCAACTCAAGTCTAAACATGAAATTCCTTTAGGTTGCACATGTACCTTAATCCTGAAAGGAATTTTATGCCATGTTTTTAGTGCACCTGTATTCTGACTATAAGATCAGGTGTGCAATTTTCCAATGGTGGTGTTTTTAGCTTGGCACTGTATTCTAGAGCTTTTTAGTTGTTGGGTTTTCAAATTAGGCACGCTCTCCTTGTACTCTGTGACTGCTATGCCTCTGGCTGTCATGAAGAGCCCATTAGGCGCCGGGATCAGGGCTCTGGAAGACCATGGTCAGAGAAGCTCAAGATGGAAGGAAGGAAACAAACCAAGACAAAGGGCTATGAGGCTTGGGGTGCTTTTAGTTTCCAGAACTTCCAGATCCTCCCTCCACGTGTCTCTCCACAGGGCCTGGCCAGGTCAAGTACACACAGTAGGGCAGAGAGAAGGAACCAGCGAGCGTTGGCATGGCTTGTGCGCAGCTGGGTGGGCTTCTGCCTTCTTTCCATCACCTCCCACATCAGTCCAGTTCATTTTACTCTTGGGGACTGCTGGTTGGATGGCTGAATTCTAGGAGAAGAAGGCCCTGGCCTGGGCGCAGCTGGAGCTTGAGTGTTGGGAGAACTAGGGCTCTTTTGTAGACTTTCCACTTGCTGCTGGCACAAGGCAGGTGTGCGGTGGGTTTGTTTGGAGTTTACAGGGATTGAGAAGACTCCTCCTTCCCTGGAGGGTGGAAAATGCTCCCCGAGCTGGATGTCTTCAACAGCAACGGAGCTATGGCCCTTTGGGGGACCCTCTGAAGCAGCTCCCTGGAGTGTGGGTCACAGACCAGCCTCAGCCTACTGCCAACAAGGGGGCCGCCCTCTTCCTTGAGCAGCTCCATAGAAAGGCACCCAACAATAGAACCAGGGACTTCAGTCTTCCTTACCACTGACTGGAACAAACTCTTTGAGTCTCAGTTCACATCTACTTTTATGGCAAATGAAAAGAATTCTGGCCACAGTCTCGGTTCCTTTGTCCCTGAACCCAGAGAAATCCAAAGGAAGGATGGGAAAAGGACAACAAAGCCTGGCTTCCAGGAGGAAGGTGGCAGTGTGGTCTCCTAGGAGAATCTTCCCTTCTTTTTCTTTGTTTCTTGCTCTTTCTGACTCTCCCTATATTGACCAGGCTGGTCACAAACTCATGGACCCAAGTGATCCTCCTGTCCTGAGTAGCTGGGACTATAGGCACATATGACTACACCCAGTCAGTTTTTATTTTTTTAAAAGCTGTTTTTCTTAAATTTTTTTTAATTGAAAACACATACAAAATAATTTCTCCAGCTTCTCATCAAAGCAAGCAAAACAGCTCCCAACTAAGACCAAGCAGCTTCCCCCAGATAGTCATCCACTGAATAGTTATTAGGCATCTACTATCTATTACTAGAGAGACAGGACCACATTTGTCTTGTTTTTTTTTTTTAAGACAAGGTCTGTATTTATTTGTTTCCCAGGTTGGTCTCCAACTTCTGGGCTTAGGAGATTCACCTGTCTCAGTCCCCCAAGTGCTGAGATTACAGGTGCATATGTTATGTGCTCAGTTCTTGTTTGGTCTTGTATCTTTACTTCCATCACAGTGCTGGGCTCAAAGCAGTTACCTGATAAGCATGTGTGGAGTGAATGAACGAAAGAAATTCAGGAAACTGGGCTGGGGATTTAGCTCAGTGGTTTCACTGCCTGCTGTGCAGGTGCAAGGACCCGAGTTCGATCCCTGGTACCAAAAAAAAAAGAGAAGAAATTCAGGAAATTAATAAAATATGCATGTTATTGTCTCTTGTCTTGCACAGTGATTAAGTTGGCAATTAATCACTCTTAGAGTCAATGGCAGTGGGAAAGGTGTTATTGACTTAGATAGTAAATATGCACATGAAAAGGTTTAAATCACAAAAGAGACCACTATTCACCCACCACTAGGGCTAGTTTTTTGGTTCTGCTTTTTGTTTTTAAATTGACAATACCAGGTGGTAGGAGATACAGAGAACTGAAATCTTCATACCATGCTACCAGGAGAGAGTGAGACGGGCTAGCAGTATTTACTAAAGTGAATCACATGTCCACCTTATGACCCTGCAGTTCCACTCTTAGGTATTCACTCCACAGAAACGTATGCATCTGTCCAGCAAAAATACACATTCAAATGTCCATAGTAGTTTTATTCATAGTAGCTCCAAACTGTAAACAATGCAAATGCCCATCAACAGAACGATAAATTACTTAGGTTATCCCACATATTTTTTTCTTTTGTTTTTGGCGACAGGGTCTCACTATGTAGCTCAGGCTGGCCTTGAATTGGCAGTTATCCTCTTGCCTCAGTTCCCGAATACTGGGATTACAGGCGTGTGCCACATACCTGGCTATCCTTGTGCAATGAAAAGAACCCACAACAAAAACCTACTGATATAAGCCAAACAAAAAGCTACTGTAGTTACTGATGTAAGCCACCATGTAAATGAATCTCACAGCCATTTAACTGAACTAAAAGTACAGAAACCAAAGTATACGTAAGTATTCACATGAAGTTCAAAACCAGAAATAATTATTCATGACACAAAAACAGAATGTTATTTATGAGGATTGGGAGTATAGATCAGAAGGGACATGAAGAACTAGAGGTGCTAGAAATGCTTTTGGTTTGGACCTGGTGGAAGTTACACAAGTGTGGACACATGTACAATAACACTGGGCAAGGAGCTTAAGATTAGTACACTTGAATGTACTTTATTGTCTGTGCACTGATAGAAAAAAGGAATGAATACCATAAGCACACCTTTACCTTAACATCCCTAAAAATAACCAACATTTTAAGTAACTGTGTTTCTCTATCGAAGGTTTTATTTATTTATATATTTATTTTTGGTACCGGGTATCAAACTCGGGACCTTGCACTTTCGAGGCAGGCGGCAGAACCACTGAGCTAAATCCCTAGCCCTATTGAAGGTTATTTTATTAATTTTTTTGTTTTCTTTTTTAATAGATTTTATTTTTTTTATCCCATTCCCCCCCCCTCAACTCCCCTATTTTTGTTTTCTTGAGACAGGGTCTCACTATGTATTTCAGGCTGGCCTTGAACTCCCTATGTAGTGGAGGCTGGCCTCGAACTCACGGCAGTCCTGCTGCCTCTGCTTTCTGAGTCTGGGATTAGAGGTGTGTGCCACCACATCCCGAAGTCTCCTCCTGATTGACACCAACCTCGTTAGTTACTGTTTCAACCCACTTCCTGACTCTCTTCCTTCACACTGTGGACATCCTTACTGTCCTCCCCTCTTCTTTTCTCAGAAGATGAGTATCTTTCTTGTTCATGGCCCACCCTTTAGCTGGTGTCCTTAACCCACACAGTCCTATTTTAGGAACTTTATACCATCCCTCAACTTTCTTTTGCTTGTATTTTTCAACCCTTTCCTCTCCCCTGGCTCCTTCTCAGACTACAGACACCTCAAATTTCTCCTCTCCTAGAAGAAATCCTCCTCTGACCCCACTTCCTCACTAACTACTGACCACTATTTCTTCTTCCCTTCCACATTCCCTGCCTTCATTTATTCACCTCCTAATGTTTCTTAAACTCACAGCTTTAGTTACTGAAACCCACAGGCCAAGTCCTCAATTTTCAACTGTCACATCCAAATAACGCCTTTTAGGTGTTACTTTCCAGACTCTTCCACATCTCTGATGTTGCCGATTCCTGTTGTATTTGAAAAACCCACTCCTTTGACTTCCACACCATCAGCTCCAGGCTCTCCTTGCTCCTGGCTGATTATGTCCGCTCTGTCTCTTTCAGGGACTCTAGTCCTTTACCCTCCATTCCTGAGTGTTATGTGCCAGGCTTCTGCCTTGCTCCTCTCCTCAGGGGTCCTTCACGGATGGTCTCATGATGTCAGCACCGCCCCACGCAGACGGCTCACACAGCGGCTTCCCTTGAGGTCAGGGCTATGCAGTCAGGAAGTCCATGGTTCCACTCCCAACCCTTTTCTCCTGCTCTATCTCATTTGGTTGTACTTCCTCCCTCACCAGATGATCCAAACTATAAATCTGTGCATAATGCAGCATTTCTCAACCTCAGCCCTATTGATACTTTTAGGCTAGAGAATTTCTTGTTGCGAGGAGGCTGCCCTGGTCATTGTAGGATGGTTTTTTTGAGACAGGGTCTCACTATATAGTTCAGGGTGGCCTTGAACTTACTGTGTAGCCTAGGCCTTGAATCTACGGCAATCCTCCTGCCTCAGCCTCCTGAGTGCTGGGATTAAGGCATCCACTACTACCCCTGGCTTCTTGTAGGATGTTTAGCAGCATTCCTGACCTCTACCCACCAGCTGCTGATACTATCCCATCTGTGTGACAACCCTAAATGACTCTGGACATTCACAAGTATCGCCTGAGGTGGGATGTCCAAATATCCTAGGGCTGAGAACCACTGGATCAAGGGCATGGATCTAGAAGACACTGTATAATTATTTTCTTTTTCCTTTAAGTAACTTAATTCGACTTTTACCAGAAAAAAACCTAAATCAAAATTAATCACTATAAGGGCCAGGGATTTAGCTCAGTGGTTCCACCACCTGCCTCGCAAGCAGAAGGACCCGAGTTCAATCCCTGGTACCAAAAATAAATAAATAAATAAATAAAATAAAATAAAAATTAATCACTATATAGAGGGTTAAATTTCAACTTGACATAACAAAGAATTCATAGCAAATAGGCGTGCCCAACATTGGTATGGCTCAGAGAGCCCTGAGCTCTTTTTGGGAGGTATTCAGAGGAATAAGGTGACTGGAATAAATCACTGTAGATTTTTCTTACTACAATTCTTTGAGGACAAAAATTAACACATAAACACAAACCCTGTGTTTGTGGCCAATAAAATTAACCAATTTTTTTTTTTGATACCGGGGATCGAACTCGGGAGCTAGTGATTGCAAGGCATGCGGCAGAACCACTGAGCTAAATCCCCGGCCCCAAAAATTAACCAATTTTTAACATACTTACAAAGTCCGAATTGTGATAATTAAATTGAAAATATGGGGTAAGGTCTATGAAAATGACAAACTATTACGGAAACAATGAAGAAGCCTTAAATATGTGAGACTTATTAACATTCAAATCATAAAACAATATGGCAATTCTTTGTCCTTTTTTTTTTTTAGACAGGGCATTTCTATGTTGTACAGGCTGGTCTTAAACTCTTGGACTCAAGTGATCCTCTCAGCCTCCTGACCAGCTGGGATTCACAGGCATGTACTACCATGTCTGGCATTTTCTTTCTTTTTTTTGGTACCGGAGGTTGAACTCAGGACTTTGCGCTTGCAGGTGCGGTTCCACTGAGCTCAATCCCCGGGCCATTTTCTTTCTTTTTAAAAAGAATCACTGGTAATACTACTGGGAGCTCAAATTCTCAATTGAGTAACCTTCAGCCATGTAATCTCTGCATCTGTCCTACCTATACTACTATTGGCATAACAAAATTACTGTCTTTTCTTCTGGTTAAGTCAAATCATCCTCCAGTGGTAACTACTGAAACTGTGGTTGTCCTTCCCCATTGCAGACTTCTGGGAATCCTAAAAGGTACTCTCCCATACTAATGTCTGATTAAAAGCAATTCCAGATTCTCAACCATACAGTTACACTAGTTGGGAAGTACTCAGCTACATGCTGTTGTTATTACCTCCTTTCTGCACACCCCTAGCCCTCCTCCACATTTATTGTCCGTAAAAGTTGACACAACACCCACAAACTATATTGACTTCCAGATTATTAATGCCTTCTCAGTGGAATAGAGTCTACACTACTTACTCACAAAGTTGGTCACTAGGTCCAGTCTTTTACCAATTACTACAGGCACAGTACATTATACCTTTAGAATTTTAAATGAATGCCCCCCCCAAAAGACTTCTATAAATGTACTTTATATCACATCTAGCAAATTTTTTTCACAGCTAATTGTGTGCATTATTTCTCAAAATTCTGATCTTAATACCACTGATGAATGAATCATTTTCTTAAAAAAAATGAGTAGCAATAGTGACATTAACAACTTGAAGTACGAAACAATGAAAGCAAACTTGTTATAGAAGAGACATAAAAACAAACAGAAAAATACTAGCAAGTTAAAGTGACAGATTTACTCCTTAATATCAAGCAGTCTTTGAAATCACAGGGAAAAAAATATCCACAAAGCAAAAGTTACCATGTAGTTGCTAGATTTTTTTTTAAAAATCAGAAACAGGGCCGGGGATTTAGCTCAGTGGTTCTGCCACCTGCCTCACAAGTGCAAGGTCTCGAGTTTGATCCCCAGTACCAAAAAAACCCAAAAAATCAGAAACAAAACTTACTGTAGATTCACATTTAAACATGGATATTTAGACTATTATACTTTGAAATTCTCCTGGAATGTTAAGAAATTCCCTGTAAGGAGCCCTTTTCTGTAAGTTCTTTCAGTAGTATGAAGACTTTAAACATTTTAAAATATGCGCTCCAAAATAAATTCTCAATTCTGAGAAACATTTGAAAATCCCCTGTTTTGTCTCTCAGTATTCTGGAGCTCCCTGTGGTCCCTTTTCAGACGTTTGGTCAAAGACCTAAAGTCCTCTTTCAAAAGATTCTGGAAAGGTTGTTGTTTCTCTGGACTAATGATCTCACTAGGAGGAAAACTCAAATTAAACTTCTCTGCAGCACTCTACTCTCCTTGGTATAAGTCCCGCGATATCATCTCCACAATGGAGACAGAAGCTAATCACCACAGAAACAAGAGTGTGCGCTTCTCGATCAGCATTAAAATATTTTTCAGCTGTTCACAGATTAAGGAAAGAACTTCCTTGTCAGTGAAAATCCCAACTATTGTCAATTCTGCTATGAAACACAAATCAGTTGTTAGCTTGGTAATGTTAGGAGTTTTCTCCTCTTTCCTTGCTTCAAAATGTTTTCTCCAGACCTGAAGAAGTGAGGGGGCAAAGTCAGCATAGTGCTGGTGAAAGAGAAAACACAGGTGCACAGCACAATCCGCATCAGAGATTTTTAGTTTGGGTTCTACAATGGAAGCCACAGCCTCTGTGATATATTTGCTTAAATTTAGGCCATTAAAATCATGGGACAAGGAGTCTCCCTGTTGTTCTGGAATAGTTTTTAGTTTCTTGACAAAAGCAGTATTTTTCTTCAAACTTGAGTCCAGGCAGCTAAAGAAATTTTCCTCTAGTCGGTTGTCTGGAGCATTTTGGTTTTTGCTACAAAGTTCCTTTCTTTTTTTTTTTTTTTTTTTTCGGTACTGGGGATAGAACTCAGGACCTTGTGCTAGCAAGGCAGGCGCCGGAACCAGAGCTAAATCCCTGGCCCTACAAAGTTCCTTTCTTAATTGATATGGTTCCCAAGCTTCCTGATGAAGCTGAAGGGATTCTTCCTTCTCTTTTAACTGAACAGCTTCTTCTTGCTGATGTTTTGCTTGCTCTTCTTGCTTTTTTCTCTTCATGTTTCTTTTTGCTTTAATTCTTCCTCTGTTTTCACCTTTTCTTTTTTTGCGTTGTCTTCCTTTTTCCTCTTATCTTCTTCTAGTTTCTTCTTTTTCTCTTCAGGGACCTTACTGACCTCTTTCTTGGCAGTGATCTTGAGGTAGTCTTTTGGTTTTTCCTTGCTGCTCACTGGCCACTTTTCACTGCAGTCTTTCTCCTTGTTGTTTAGCAGAGATTCTTTTTCTTCCATATGTGCTAACTTTTTACACTCAGCTGGCATTATGTGACCCAGAACAATCTCGAGCTTGTTGTCAACATTAGCCCTGGGTTCCCCAACACCAACTCCAGCTTTCTGGCTCTGTCCCCTCCTCCCCCATCATTGTGTAATTTTAAACTAGTTACTACTTCTCTAAGTCTTGGTTTGTTTTTTGCTAAAAGAGCTTAAATAAGATAATACACTATAGGTAAGCCACAGAGTCTGTTCTATATTGGAGCCCAACACAAGCTCCTCCCTCCTCCTTACACCAAACAAATCTCCTAGGCCTGTGGGGATTTAGCTCAGTGGTTCCGCTGCCTGCTTCGAAAGCGCAAGGACCGGAGTTCGATCGCCGGTACCAAAAAAAAAAAAAAAAAAAGCTCCTAGGCCTGTCAGTTTTATCACTTAAGTATTTTACCCATCCACTCTCATCCATGCCTACCTGGATTAGTGTGACTGCTCTTGCAGCTTGCAGCCAATCTGTGCCCCTCAAATTCACGACACACACTGCGGAGGTGTGCACCTCTCCAACCCCGCCTCTTGCCCCTCCGGGACCGGATTTCCAAGTCGGCCACGTTGAGATACCAGGCATTCCTCTGTACACCATGCAGTTTCCTGGCTCTGTGTATTAGCTCCTGCTGCTCCTACTGCCTGGGATAACCTCCCACACTGGATCTTTTATTCCTGCAGGCTCACTGGGGTTTCACTTCCCCCAAAAAGACAAACCTGCATCCTCCTTTCCCATGTGGCCCAGTGCTCCTCTTCTGTGTCCCCACTGCCCCGCCCATCCACTTTCTCCCAGGATCTACCTCATGTACCACATTTTTGTCTCTGAGTTTCTCTGCCAGCCTGTGCATGGCAGGGATTGTGGCCTTTTCATGTCCATACACATAACATCTAGCATATTCTCTGACACACAGATGGCACTCAGAAAAATATTTATTGAGTGAATGAACAGATATAGCATCACCATTCCCTCTGTTAGGTTTAGAGGCACTGTTTAGTTCGTAGTTCATAAATCTGTTGTCTTTGTGGCTCAGAAGCAGGGCTTCCTTGGCCAGGGGCTTGTGGAAGGCACAGTGCTAACGGTAACACTTGCATAAATGCATGTGTGTGGCTGAGTGATGATGCGTGGACCAATGTGGCTGGGCTGATACCTGCTTACAACAGCACTGCCAGGCTCTCTGAGACTCAGAGGCATTTTCTTTGCCTCTTCCATGTCTTTCAAGTATCTTAATTCAGGGCCCTTCCTGTCAGTGAAAGTCTTCCTTTAGCTTCTTCACTCACTTCTGAATTGACCTAAGTACTTTTGCAGAGGACCCAGCCATTCTTCCTGTAAATCAGGTGACCCTCCATTTCTATACTTGCTTTTTGGTGCTGAAGATTAACTCCAAGACCTCTGCACTGAGGTACGTCCCCAGCCCTTTAACATTTTTTGTTTTGTTTGGAGACACGGTCTTGCTAAATTGCCCAGGCTGGGCTCATACTTTGCACTCCTCCTGCCTCAGCCTCCCAGAGTGCTGGGATTACAGGCACATGGCACCAGGCTGGGCCATTTGCACACTTTGGAATCTGTGATTTAACCAACTATGGACTGAAAATCCGTAGGAGAGAGGGCTGGAGAGTGGTGGAGTATAGTACTTGCCTAGCATGTGCGAGGCCCTAAATTCAGGACCTTAAAAAAAAAAAATATATATATATATATATATATATCTCCACACACACACACACACACACACACACACACACACACACACATATATTATAGGCCCGGGGGATTTAGCTCAGTGGTGCCGCCTCCTGCCTCACAAGCACAAGGTCCCCAGTTTGATCCCTGTACTAAAAAAAAAAAAAAAGGACCTAGGTACTGCAAAAAATAAATGAAAATCAGCCCGGGGGACTTGTTGACTATGTGCACTTCCTTTTCTTGTCAATCCCTGAACAATATACTATAACTATTATTTGTGTAGCATTTCTATCATATTAGACATTATAAGTAATCTAGAAACGGAGAGTATACAGGAGGACACGCATCGGTTATAAATCAACTTGTGCCACTTCATCTAAGGCTTGAGCACCTACAGATGTTGGTATCTGTAGGGGTCCTGGATACCAAGGATGACTATGAATTAAGCCCTATCAAGCTAGGTGCAAGATGGACACATTTGCTGTCCACATCAGAGCGCTGAGCCTATTGAAGGTTCACATGCTACTCATCTTCAGACTCACTGGCCCACAGAGGAGCCCACCTAGAGGTGCCTGTGATCCCAGAGTCCGCCTGAGACTACCCTGCCTCTTCCCCCATCACTGCTAGACCAACACCCTCCTTTTACTAACCCTAGGAAGTTTAGCTGGGTACCAAGCACATTCGTCAATTTTGCCCTCCTTCCTCATTCACTAACTATAATAAAGCTTTGTCAAGTGCAAGGGTCTGTGGGGTCCTGAGCCAGTTCCACTCTTCGATCCTCAGTTTCCCCACCTGTCAGGCGTGTGTGTATGAGAAGGGACCCTGGTGTAAATAGACCACTCAGGGCCCTCCCACCCAGTTTTCAGGGTGGTGTTGGGGTCTGTACGAGGCGGAGGATGCTGGCAGACCGTAGGCGGTACTAGCCGCACCCACCTTGCCACCAGGATAGAAGGCAAGGCAGCAGCCACCCAGGAAGGCCGAGGCAGTGCAGCGAAAAGGAGCCTGGGGCGAGGCGGGAACGCTAGGCGAGCCCTGAGAGCTCTTCGCAGGCGAGAAACCTGGCTGTGGAGGGGCAGGGATCATCGGGTCGCGCCGGGCGGGGCGGGGCGGGGGTAGTGGCGGAGTCCGGAAATTCCTTTCCTTTGCTGCCCTCCCTGCCCCCTTTCCTAGGGTGCCCGCTGGTCCTAAATCAGGTTACCGAGAAAGAGAAAATGAAATGCTCTCCGGGTTTCTCCGCACCGCCTCTCCAGCCCTCGCCTAGCCCTGGGCTTGCAGCGCGAGCCGGAGCGCGGGGAGGCCGGGGCTCCCGAGTTGGGGGCCTCCCCGCCGGTGCGCAACCAGTCCAATCCCCGGCGGCTCCCAGGTTCCCGAGTACGCTGCAGCTCGGTCCCTGAGCTCTGGAAAGCGTGCCCCGGCTTCGGTCCCGTTCAGTTTAAGCTGGTGTCACATGAGCCGCGGGGGAGTGGGAACCCGGGGAGTGGGCGGGGGCGTGCGCGCCGGGCGGGGCCGCCAGTCCACCTCTGTACACCGCGGCCCGCCTGACGGATGCCAGGAATTCCCAATGAGCGGCGATGGGGGGAAGTTTGGGCAACTCGACCTGGCCAATGGAGAACCTCGGGAGGGCTCTGCCCTTGCCCGCCCTCGCCCGCGTCGCCTCCTGCAGCGCGAGTGTGTCTGCCGAGCTCAGTGTGCGAAGAGATCGGGTCCGAGCGTGCTCGGAGCAGGCAGTCTGTGAACTCGCGCCGCCGCCGCCAGCCGCAGCTTCCGCGAGCAGCGCCGCGGCGGAACCGGGCGCACGAGAGCTGCCTGGCCCCGCCAACCCCGCCAGCCCAGCCGACTCCCTCCTCCCCACGCCGGGGCAGCCGCCGCCGCCGCCGCCGCCGCCGCCGCCGCCCGGAGAGAAGGTGGAGGAAGCAACCCAGCCCCTAGCACGCGCGCTCCATCATGGACCATTATGATTCTCAGCAAACCAACGACTACATGCAGCCCGAAGAGGACTGGGACCGGGACCTGCTCCTGGACCCGGCCTGGGAGAAGCAGCAAAGAAAGGTTAGCACCCGCCGCCCCCCCACCCCCCACCCCCGCCGCAGCCCCCAGCCCGGACCCGCTCCTCCCGCCGCGCTCCAGGCTCCGGTTCCGAATGGGTTTGGGCGCGCACGGGCGGGGGCGGGGACGCGCGGCCACGGGGAGGTGGGGTGTTGGGTTACCGGCGCGGGGCGGAAGGGGGAGCGCCCCAGCCCCGAGCTCGCGGACTGCGATCTGCAGCGTGGGGAGGTGGCGCCGCGGGCAGGCAGGTCGCCTGGAACCCACGATCCAGGCCACCTCGCGGCCGCCGCCAGCATCCTCGCGTGGGCAGGGCGCGGGGGCGGTGTTTTGGGGGCTGGGGCTGAGACCCCAGCTCGGGGGCTGCTTGCTCGGGATCGATTTTCCCTTCCTTTCCTTCCCTTCCCCGCCTCCCGGCTGCCTCCATATGGCGTGCGGTGGCAGCGCGCTTCCTGGGCCGCCCTGGTCACAGTACCTGAGGGGCCAGGCGCCCAGGACTCTCCCCAACCCCAGCCTGAGGGCGGGCGCTGGCGGGATTGACGGCTGCCTCGGGGTCTGTTTGGAGGTGGACCCGCGAGGAGTGCGGAGGGAACCGGGGACCGTCCGCGGGCTCCCCAGCGGGCCCTCTGGGGGTGGAGTCAGGACGGCTAACCGTTCCATTGCCTAACTCAGTGGGCTGGTAGCGAAGGCTTTCATGTGCGTCCTGCCTCCCTGACCTCTGCTCTTTTCCTGGAGAAGAGCGAGTGTGAGCAGCTTGATTCACGTGGAGGGGTTCCAGGGCGAGGGACGGACTCCAGAGATCTTTGGGGTCAGTTGTGGATCTCTGCTTAGCCTCGGAGCTGTGTCCCGGGCGCCGTGTGCGGGGTGCTCGCTCCGAGACCAGGGCCGGGCTAGGGAGCTGGCGAGGGGACCCGGTTATAGTGGCGAGTAGCAGGAAGAGGTCAGAAACCACGCTTGTTGGGGAGGGGAGCGCCCCAACACTGCCCTGCTTCCTGCCTGCGCGGTGAGCCCTTGCCCCCGGCAGCCACGTACCCTGTCTCCCCCCGCCCCCCCAGCTGCCGGCTCCCATCCGGTCCCTCCCCGTTTCATACTCCTCCCTCCCGCTGATCTGGGAATGGGGGGGGGACAGGATGGCTCGTCCCTCTGGATAGTGCGGTTAGGGCTGGGCTTGAGGGAGAGTGCTCATGTCCAAAAATGGTAACATTCATTCCCTTTTTTAAACTTAAAAGGGGGGTAGTTTAGAGAGCCGACTGAAGTTTTTTTTCTCAGCCAAAGGCATCCTGTATTAGCTCACTCAGGAATCCTAAGCTCTGAAACGGTGCCCTTTATACTCACTTCATCAGACCAGCAGAGGTAATTTAGAACACACACAATGGGCTTCCCCACAGTGGCGAGCTGGGTCCCTCCCTGGGGGTTCTGCTGTGCCCGGCCTTAGACATGGACAGCACGAGGGAAGGTCCTCTGACTTCTTTGTAGCAATTGCTTAACTATCCACCCTCTTCCTCTTGGTGCCCTCCGGGACAGCTGGGGGCTGAGGGGCTGCCGACACCCCCCGACACATTCAGCTTCCTGAGACCATGGGGCTGTTGGTGGAGCTGAAAATTGAGTGGGCAACTTGGAGATTGCCGGGGGAGACAAGGCAGGGGACTCTTATTTTTTAATTTCAAGGTGACGCCTTCTGGAGAATAGATTTAAAGTTGGGCGGGGGAGTGGGAGTAGGATGGTAGATGTCCTGTGATCTTCCCTGGAGAGCCCAAGACAAGAAGTCCCTGCTGGTAGCAACGAGTTTGGACCTGGAAGGGGCAGGAGTGATGGCATTGCCCAAGAACCAGGCCCTGGAATGGCTGTGAGACTCAGTCCCTGCAGGACAGACTGACCCCAGGTCTACCCATAAGCATTCAGTGTTATCAAATACATGAATGAACATATTAAATGTATTTGGTAAGAAAAATACAGGTTCCCAGAATTGTGACCTGGTGGGAACAGGCCATCCTGGAAATTTGGCCATCTAGAGGCCAAATGCAAGTGTCAAGAGCTGGCCCTGGCAGATGTGTGTGTGCCTGCCACTGTTCTAATCATGTCACCTAGATTATCCCAGATGTTGCTCCCAGCAGCTGTGTGAGCCAGGTGCACATGAGGTTGAGGAAATGAGGGCCAGAGTGGGGAAGTAACCAGCCCTGAGTCCTAGGCTAGAGCACGGTAGGGCTCTGATATAGCTATGTTGGGAACAGGCAGCTTCCGTTCTTTTGTGTCTTCTTGGCCTGGCATCCAGAGCTGGAGGGTCTCGAGACCAGGGGAGCACACACCTGCTTTGGGAGGATTGACATCTGGCGACAGGCACAAGGGTCTCTGGTTCTGACTTGGTCCAAGGCTCTTGTACCCCCTGCCATTAATTCTCTATGTTTCCTTTGTGGGCTTCAGTTTCCAATCTGTAGAATTTCTATCCTGCCAGGTTCTCATCAGGGTGATAAGGATATAGGGAAGTGGTATTATGTAAGACTTACAGCAGCTTGTAGTTTTTCACACTCACCTTACTTGTGGGAGGGGAAGGGGTTGTGGGGGACCAGACCCCACAGGTAGAGAGAGGCCACCTGTTGCTGGGGGAGGCAGGGGAGGGATTGGAAGAGGGGGAGCAGGACAGTGGGAGCCAAAGGTCACTGGGTGGGAGGCAGAAGACCCTGTTTTTAGCCCTGGTGCAACTATGAGTATTGGTGAGACTCTAGGCAAGTCATTTATTTCCCTGAGCATTTTAAAATTAGATCATTCCACAAATGCTTTGTGAGCACTTGACTCTGAGCCAGACACTGTTCCCTGATGTCCCTGAGCCACTGTGTAAGCTAGACAGACTGGTTCCCTATCCTTGGGGTGCTCCCGTTATTTTTCCTCACCTGTAAGTGGACTGCATTCCTGCCCCACTGACTCCAGTGCTCTTCTGGGTTCCAATGAAAGGATGCAGTCGGAAATGTTTCCTGGGGAAAGAAAGGTAGAAGTCTGAGCAGGCAAGAGGCGTGACTCAAGGAAGCCAGCGGGGTTGGCCATGGCTTGTCCCTCCTTCAAAGAATGCTTCAGTATGGAGTTCTTCAGGCTGGTCCTCCTGCCTCCAGATGCAAAATGCAATTACCGAACGGACAGAGCAGGTGGAACAGAGGAGGTGCCTATGCTTTGCCAACATTCACAGTTTTCCTGAACTTCCAGGTTGGCTCTAAACCCACCTTTCTTAGGGACAGCTGTTTTCAGGATGACCATGGCTCTTAACTCACTTGACCTCACATGGATCTCACCCCACTCTCGTGTGTGTGTGTGTGTGTGTGTGTGTGTGTGTGTGTGTGTGTGTGTGTGTGTATGATGTGCAGGTGTCAGGCAGGCTGGACAGAATATTGATTTAGAGTAGTATCCTGGCTATATGCTTGCAAGCTTGTGGTTCCTCTCTTAGGCTCCAATACTTTATATATAAATGAGCTGATGTGGGTTGATGTTTGATGTGTAAAATGGCAGCTTTTGCTGTTAAATAGTGTTGTCCTCTTTCCCTCTGAAGTCCTGGACCTTCTGGTTGAATGTGTATTCCCACAGGTGGCAGCCCTGGGGCTTTTTTATATGGAGAGGCTTAATCAATATTTGTTGAGTGAATGGATGTTGAAACAGAGCGGTGACCTTGGCAGGTGAATGAAGGTGGCTGTGGATAAGGTCCAGATCCTGCTTCTGTACCCATGCCAAGCCAGGTCACAGGGGAGAGGCCACATTGTTTTTCTGCTTCTGGACAGCAAGACCATCACAGAAGCTGACCAAGACATTGGTTGAGGTGGGGAACTGCAAAGAGGGGAGGCCCTGCACAACTGGGTTTACCTTGGGATGGACAGGACATCGAAACCAGGGTGGTACCTGGAGGGAATGAAACTGGAAGAGGAAAGAACTGGCTTTCCTATCTTCAGATCCCTTTCTGCTCTGCATTTTGGGCTGCCCATCCCATGCCAGCATTCATAGGGCCAGGAACTCAGCCTGTCCTGTTCTCTCCTGAATTCTTAGTACCCAGCATAGGAGCAGGGGTTGTTGTAGGTGGGGTGTTAAGAAATATCACTGAAAAAAATTGGATAAATGGCATCATGCATGCCTCCCAACCCTGTACTGGGGGTTGGGGATAGAGGTGAAATGTTTTTTGTTCCAGGTAAACCATTCCATCCTGGGGCTGCACCCTAGTTCCAGCCTCAGCATGTGCTCTAGGCACACTGGGGGTCCGAGTCTTAGTTCCTCCACTGTCTAACTCTTCCATCTTGGGCAAGGAAGGCACTTACGCTCTCTGGGCCTGGGGATACCCTCGGGGAAATGCGGTAACAGTGCCTGTCTCACATAGTTGCATGGATATTTAAATGAAATACTGTATGCAGGGATCTTAGCATATCACCTAGGTGTAGTGAATGCTCATAAATGTTAGCTGTTGGAGGAACCAGTGTTTGGCTGGACTTTACCAATAGGCTTTGCATAAACCCATCTTTGAAGGAGTCAGGGTTGCTAGGGGTGTGTGGGAATTGTGTTGTCCTTGACCTTTGATCATGAGTTCTTCAGCTCTGGTTCATTCTGAGTCATGAAACCTGTCTTCTCGCTCTCCTTACCTGAGAAAGCATACAGACTCTCTTGCCTAGCCTTTTCCCTACTTCTGGGTATCCAGGATGAAGGGATGGATGTTAAAAGTGCTGAAAAACCTCCTCAGCTTGTGGGAAAATAACTGCACAGTAGAAATGGACTCTAAAAGCCATTTAGCCCAGTAGAGCCCCACCATTCAATAGCAGAGGGCCTTCCTTGGCCACAGGTTCCCAGCCTTGCTTTACCTGATGCAGTGCCTTCCTCTCCAAACCCTCACTGATTAGCAGAGTGATTGACCAATCCTGCAGGAGAAGTAGACTGGTATGGGGTTGGGCTGGGCCCTAAGGCCTCAGGTAGAGGCTGCTGGCGCTGAACCAGGCAGGTGTGAGAAGGCCCGGAGTGCCCTGCTACCCAGATTTTCCAGTGTTGAGGGGCGGTGGGACCTCTAGGGGCTGCCCATGTCACTGGACACTGGAGTTGGGATTGTAGGAGTGAGAGGCTGCAGGCTCCTTCAGGCGGCCGGGCCACCATCCTCCTCAGGAGGGAAAGGAGGAAACTGGTTTGCTGGAGGCTGACTTAGGGAAGCACTGCAGGGCCGCCTCCCTTTCCATTTTCTCCGGGAAGGCCTGGGGCCGGGCGCCTGGCCAGTGGCCACAAACCAGGAATCTGGCTTGAGGACTTGTCACACAAGCCTTGGTCCCTCCTGTGGGTCTGGAGCCAGGGTGGGGCAGCCCGAGCCTGAGATATGAACTAGTCATGAGCATTCACTGTGTGGCCCTAGGAAAGAGCCTGGCCCCGAAATAGTAAATCAGTGAGCGTTAATTGAGCCCCTTGTGGGTATCAGATGTGCTGCTATCTGTGTGGGGTCATGGAAATCACATTTTAGGTGCAGAGGAGACCAGAAAGACCCAGGGTCACCTTAGGCTGTGCTAGTAATGACCTTGAGGAATGGCCCAAAACAGGCGCTGTGGCC